ATAACTGAAATAACCGACTTATGTGGACAAGAAAACAAAAATTACGTAGTACAAAAACAACATCAATAACGTAACGTTTAACAAATCCCATTCTCCTCCTTTTAAAAGCTATGGCTCCATCGAAATCAAACACACTGAAAATCTATCAACTTTACTTCGTCCCTATGACAAACGACAAATGAAATGTCACAGGGATAATCCTAGTTTGTGTTTATTATAAATATCTAACACGAAAGCAGCAGACTGCTGTGCTTCGGATTGGAAGATAGGGAGAGCCAGCGCAATCACAGGCTTAGAAGACGTGTGATTTCACGTCATATACGATAATATTGTATACCTACCATAAAAAACTTATCAACTATCGTACAATGTCTGCCTGCAAAACAAGCATAAATATTAATGCAAATAATCTTAACAAGCTAAATAAATAAACCGTTCCAGTTGATAGATTACATTTCACAATAATCTAGAAGTTATCTGATTGTTTTTTTTTTCATACCTATGTTTCTCAAAGGCTAGAAAGTTACACAGTTAACAAACTCTCTGTTACTTCTTCCGTGGCCGAACGGTTACCATGCTGGTCTGCCACGCAGAGGTCCCGGGTTCGTTTCCCAGGCCGGGAGAAATGTTTGTTTGGCCTCTAGTTTTATGTACTATTGTTGTTTATCATTATTTCTCTCGTGAGTTTGGGTGTAATTTGTGTTTTTTTTATAATATCAATTGACAGTACAGACAAGTCACGCGCCTTATGATAAGCTACACGCCTGTCCATAACAGTTGCATTGCCACTCAGAACTTTAATCGCAAAAATTTGAGGAGCACTGCCACTGCGCGTCACTCTGAGACATAAGTTGATAAGTCTCATGTTCCTGTAATTTCACCAGCACCCTTACCCCTCAAAACCGCAGCTCAGCACAGATTGCCACTCAGATCTCAGTAATGCTGACATTACTGTTTGGCGGCAGATATAGGTAAGGTGGCAGTAATTCCCTGGACAAACTTTTTCACAAGGAGCTGGTCTTCGCTCCCGACCCGGACACGCTCTCAGTGTGTTTTAAGCTTTACAGGGAGAGTAAGCGTGCTCGAGGGAAACCTTGTGTCCAGCAGCGGATGCGTGTAAGAATACCAATAATTGTAACTATTTTATAAAAAAAAGCCAAACTCAAAAGTCCGTAAAATTACATCTGTTTGCCAAGATTTATTGATTTCGGTTACTGGAAAGTACGCGAAACCGTATTCACGTGGAATATTAACCTTCAAATTTAAATGGAACCATTCTAATGTACCCTCTTTCCAACAAGAAAAAAATAATCATCAAAATCAGTTTACTTTTTTAATCGCGTAATATACGTACTAAAATATACAGTCGAATTGAGAACCTCCTATTTTGAAGTCGGTTAAAAATTCTGCCATTGACATTATCAATGCCCAACTGCAATGATTTAAAATTAGCATACTTGGGAACCAGTATCAGTTAAGGTAAAAAGGGATATCATCGTAACTACTTTCCAATCTGACATAACCTGAGATCGGAATAATAATAATGATCGACCGAACCCACTGATGATGGAAAGGGGATGACGAAATGATTTCATGCAATTCTCAATTCTCTCCATGGTAAGTATTAAAAGCTGCACGAGTGATGCGAAATAAAAAAAATCAATTCAGATTGTAGGTCAATCATTGATGCTGAAAACTTCACTCTACACTCACACGCAGTAACATCGGACAGCCAACAGAAATAGCCAACTAATTTTAAGATCGGCAGAAAAAAAATTGTAATATGAAATAAATGATTGTATTATAATCTGTTTCCACACACATTGATTACATAAAAAACAAACCAAGACTATTTAAAAATATTTAAAAATAATGAGGGAGAAAAAAAGTAGTTGTTGTCCCTGTACCTTTAAATTTTATCACTTAATAAAAAGAACAAAATCGCGGCTACTAGATTTATAACAAATTGGAATTTATTTTATATTCATGAATTCTATTTTAATTTTATAAAATATATATGTGGTCGTGACTTATTATATATAATACATATATTTACTTATCCACAATAACCGGGACAAGCTAAAAAATCTGTGTATATGCATATGTTTTAGAAGCATATATCTCGTAGCAGAAGTGACATATGTCATCCAGGGAAGTACTGCCACCTTTATTTCTGCCGCCAAGTAGAAATGTGAGCATTACGAGATCTGAGTGGCAGTCTGTCACTTGCTGTAATAATTAAAAAAAAGTGGTTGATGTTGAGCTCGCTTCTCTGCCGCACACAAAAGTTTATATATTGTTAAATTATTTATTTTTGGTGTGTAGAGAATTAATTATTTAAGTGGTACATAATTAGCTAAAAAAGTTTTTAGCTCGTTTAAAAGTTGGATAGGTGCCAGATTTTATTGACCGTGAGTGTAGAATATAATAACAATAGAAAAATACCTACATATTCATTAGAATCAAGGCCAAATGTTTCAATTGCTTCTAAGTGCGTCCAATGAAGCACGCCGGTAAACAATATGGGAGGATTTTTATCGAAGTCTGATTGAGATTTATTATTGGTTCCTACGTATACAATATGTATACATATTTGGCAACATTATTTGTTGCTATCAATTCGTCAATTTTTGTTCTGAATTTTATATATGGCTAATGGATGGTAACAAAATAAAATCATTGGTACCAAAACAAAGGTCATAATCAAAAGAAAATTTATAACAAAAAGTAATAATTTATTATTTTATCTATAGTCCATCTGTTTAGGTACTTAAATAAATGTAAACAATCTTGAGATGTCTATTTAATGAAATATACATTTATAAAATTTTTTTCCCTTACCTTCAAATACAAAATACAAATACTTAGCTTCATATGAAATTGCATGCCTATTTTTATACCTATTGATTTGTAAAGCATGTGTTTCAATAAAAAGATGTATCAAGATTATTTACATTTAGTTACGTACCTAAACAAATGGATTATAGGTATTGAGATAAAAAAATGTCAATGTACCTCTTATTTTTTATAAAATATTAAATAACAAAGCATTTTATAATATAATCCATCTATTTATTAGATAAAAAAACGTCAATGGTATGGAACCACTTGATACAAAGATAATAATAAAATCTTTGTAAATATGGTTGTGCTGAGTCATTTATTTTATTAATTTTATGCAGAGGGAGAGAAAATTAACTGCATGAAAAAATATTCAACACAAGCGCGGCTATTGTGCACGATTTAACCTTCACTGGGTTCACGGAGTAGAATAACGCCTGAATCTATTAATTACTTAAAATCTTTGTAAATATATTTTTGACCTGATATTGTTATAGCTACTTTTTAAAGTGGATTATGTGTTCTACTGATTCAGTATCCATGACTAATGACTAGTAAGTATAGACTTACTACAAGAGAATATAGTAGTAGTGCGTTAAATTCTAAGTAGCACAGCAAAATATCAAATGAAACACACAAATTGGTCATCCTGTCACTTGATATCATAAAATATGCTTATTCAAATTGCACTATGAGCGTTGTTCAGCATTTGGAGGCAGTTTCCAACAATGCATCAGCCTCTTTACTGTGTTTGGTACTGAAAACATCATCATCAACCCATTTATATGTCTCACTGTTGGGCACAGTCTCCTCGGATGAGGGTTTAGGTCATAGTCTGCCATGCTGGCTCAATGCGGGTTGGGAACTTCACATGTTTTCTGAGGATTGTGAAACTTCTTCGACATGCAGATTTCATCACGACATTTTAACAAAGCTCATAGTAAATTTCAAATTAGAGTTCGTACATATTCCGAGCAACTCGGACCAATTCAGACAAATATTCAGAGAAACCAGTGCCTTTGCTTGAGAGGCAATAGGGCAAATCATTAGGTTACCAGAGGTTGAATGCATTCTACGTATAATTATATAGTCAAAACTTGTAAATGTATCATTGCAGAGCAGAAAGAGAAAGGAAGTAACAAACAACATTGTTATAACAAAATTGTCGTAACAACCCTATCACATTTAGTGGAGTAGTTGTGATCTTGTAAAGTATGTTTGGCATCAGACAAGGATTTTTTATTATCAAGGGCGTCATCAACTTATCTTTACAACACTAACGGATGTAACTGACAATTTCGAATAGATTGGATTATGTACATTGTGAGTGTAAACAACTCTTTTCCTCTTGTCCATTGAAATTGCTAATTATTGTAGCAAGGAATGTATATTTGTGATATTCCTAGTGTCTTTGCAGTGTTTTTAGTAACTCGCGCTCACGTTTTTATAACAAGGTGTAATCAGTTCCTTTTTTGAAATAAAATCAGAACTTCGAAATTTGAAACACAGAGGGTACGTTTATCTACATTGATGTTGAAGTTAAATGGTTATAGGTAGGTACAGTTTTCACATGAGAGTGCATTACGTTTTGATATTCTTAATGTTGCCTTTTTAAGCTGATGGCTCTACAGCCAATGGTCAATAAATAATCAAGAACATAAATTATTACAGTAATAATAAACGGTTAAAGTATGCAGAAATCAGCTGATATGTCAAACAACCTAAATTTTATTAAACTACCTACTTGTTAAAACAATTTTGAGGTTATTCACAATGACACTCATTTTATAATATGATCGTTAATTATTTCCTGTAATAACGAATGCAACCTGCATTTAGTTACTGGCTTTGATATTGCTTATAATAATTGTTATGATTTGACCTCATTTTTAAATAAAACGTGTTGGAATAAAAATGCGGTTTCCATATCAATTTTCGCAAATTTTGTTTGCAAAGATTTGAAAAGGCAATCATTCCAAGTATACGAATGCATTCAGCCTAGTCATACATAACGCGATTGTGTGATGACGTAGTACTGTACCAAAGGACAGAAAAAGTTATGCATTCCAAATTTAAACATTTCTTATTTTTTTCTTCAAAACAATTGATAAATAGTGATCTGAATCACTGATGTGATAAAAATAGATATTTCTGCTTACCAATAATTATTTTCTTTAACATTGTTGTCCTTCAATGGCTCGATGGTTGCAGCTTCGTAGTGGTCATAATAGTTATTACTACTACTAAAGTTTAATTGTTGCATTAACTTGGTCATCTTGATAAGTCGTAATTAAGCCGTACGATAACTTTGAAACAAAAAACACGGTCAAAACCGTCAGGATTCGCAAAGAAATTGCGCAGCGCAGGCACCTGGCCAGGCTATTTCACAACAAATTGAAGTGAATAATGAATGATTCAAAATTGATAAAGAAAAATAGTGATGCATGGTGACGTAAGTCACTGACTTTTAGTGAGTTAGCTCTGTGAGTTACTTGTAGCAATTCGTATAAGTACTAAAGCTTTTATTACTTTTTTCAAGATAGTAATAAGTAATCATAAGTAATTGGAGTTCAAAAAAGTAAATTTTCATACGATGATTTTTTTATCTCAGGAATAAAAAAAAAATTTAATTTCTGAACCACATGTAATTGTTACTAAAAATATACATATAATTTGGTATCCAATGTATAACAGTCGCGAATATCTAAGAACTCGAGTATTTTTACCTTTTTATCAATAATGAGTTCTAGAAATATAAATAACAGAACAGACGAACTTTCATGGTGACACATTTTGTTATTAATTTTAAATTTCATAAAATGTTGTAATTCTTTACATTGAATACTTTCAATTAACTGAACAAGTAACTGATACACAAAAAGCCTGTGTTTACTAATCGTATTCGTATAACAATAAAAACCTAGTAATAATATTCATAAGTGAGATCCCAAAAAGAAGTTGATTTTATATACGGACTTAATCAAATTGACGAAACGAACATAGAGTACCGTACAACACTAGTCCGATTGAATGAACCACGCAATACCGCCAAATTAAGTCTTAACACAAACTCTGACGTTTTAATACAAACGCTTACAATAATGGTTACCATTAAACTTAGTCGGACTTTACAATTTTTCCATTATGGCTACCGGATGTGAACATGACATTTTGTGCTAGTAGTACGTTCCATTTTACAGATTAAATTTTTTTATTAAGTACCTTTTCTAATCTTTATGATTTTATTTAATTAAATTTTATTTTTATTTTATTTAAACCTTATTATATGTAGCTATTGCAGTTAGGTGTGTAGTCTTCGTCTACCTATGATACCAAGTATATTGCATATGGGGTAGAAATAAAATGGACATAAACAGAGATGAGCAGTGGGTTAAAACCCAATCAGCCCGCTCGTGTTTTTAACGAGGTGTCACCAGAGCGGTGGGTTTTAATCCATGTCTGCCTTAAATCGTGGGCGTTTAGACGAATACGAGGCAACTCTACACAATACTCACCTTGCAATCCTAATAGATTCTCACTAAGAATGCACATTACGATTCGTAAAAATGAAAAGATCAGAAAGCAATCAATATTTTGTAACAATATCATTAAATTTGAACAAAACTCGAGTTAAGTACAAGAAATGTTTAGTTTAAATACTTTTTACCCTCGATTTTGGGCAAAAATGGGTTTTAATCGATTTTAACCCAGCTTTAACAAGGCACCGGATTAAAACCCGGGCACTTGCCCATCTCGACATAAATAATACGTTTTAGGCTTCTTAGTGTTTCAGTTCGTGCAAAATTGAACACCTTATAATAACTACAATAGAGATAAGAATGTATTTCTTTATACTTGTATTTACAGTACCTAACAATTGAATCTTTAACGGATTTAAAATTTTATCTTCCACATTTAAATTTCTTTAGATCCTTTTTAAGGATAAAATAGAAATTGTTTATTACGCCTACACTCGCCATGTTTTTTTATTGACTAATTAAAATGTGCGAAGTGGTACAGATACAAACAAAATAGTCTTCATACACTTTTGTTGATAAATGCACGTCGAACATTTCGACTTGCAACATTTTATAGAATGAAATAGAACATCATACTTACCAAAACGTGATACACAAAAAAATCAATAAACTCACCGATTACGAAAAATTAAAGAAGGCATTATTGTTGGATCGATACTCATGTACTGTTCTCTCATAAAAGGTTTAGAAAGCAACGTCATTTCACTTCGAAATATCACTTCACTTTGATAATTCACTTCTTAAAGTCGTGTTTTCACTTTGTCGCACAACATGGATCTTTTTCCTTTGGAATTCCGTAGAAGGTTCTGTCTCTGGATACTTCATTCAGGCTTTGGGATACGTTAGCGACTGACGCAGTGTTCTATAAGTTTACTTACACTTATAGCTAGGGTGTTTTGGATTGAAAAGTGTTAGGCCACACGGCGTGGTTTTTGGCATGATGGTAAAATATTGCAAATATTTCTACCACAGGCCAGCATTTTTGAGCATTCATAGTGCCAATAATAATAAAGAAAGTAACGTGCAAATGGAATAAGGTTCAAAATCTTGTCAAAACCAATATCACACTACACTAGTACAAAAGAAAATAAATGCAAAATTTAAACGCCTGTACAATATTATTAGCAAAATATGAAATCCGAAAAATTGCTTTGCATTTCATACTCCATTTTATTAAAACTACACATACAGCTTTAAAATAAAAACTGAGTAATTTTTACTCATTGTAATGAACGCCGGGGGTCTGTGGCGAGACTACCTAACGTAATGCAACAGCAACCGTCACTCTAACTATTCATGTTATGTAATTAAGTAAAGTTTAATCGCAAACAATATAAGCTTGTAAAAGCTAAACCTAATTGTTTACCTTTTCGCAAAGGGTCCATGGGCTCTGACATTTTGAGAGGGTCCTATGATAGAATCCCTGTTGTAGAGTATAATTGTGCTAAACCGTTAAGGGAGAATACTTACGAGAATCATCTAGAAAAACTCTTCCCTACAACATTTTCCACGCCGTGTGGTTTGCTTGAGCACACGCGCAGGCGCGGCAGCCATGATTTCACGTCACCTTATTTATCCGCGCAGTCGATTGTTTCGCGTCCTTGCCAACACATGTCCTTCACTGAGGGCGAGGACAATGTACTCTCTTAAAGGTTCCATGTCGATGTACACACAGCTCAAGACATAAGTTTACATTGAACGCAGTTGTGTCCTACAATATCATCCCCTCATTATATACCAACTTATGTATATAGGTATATACATAAATTGGTTGATAGATACTTATAACCGAGACTTCACAGGTGAAACTAAACCATCTGCCACTTTTATTAACTAATAACTCTAATTTTTTTTTTGAGCGCTGTGCAAATCAAATTTAGTTTGTATTTATTCATGCGTGAGTTAATATAGTCCTGAGACGTTACTATTTTATAAGTAACTGCCTCCGAGGCCGAACGGTTACCAAGCTGGACAGTCACGCACGGTCCCGGGTGCGATTCCCGGGCCGGGAGAAATATTTGTATCGCCCGCATTTATTTCTCTCGAGAGTATGGGTGCAATTTGTGGTTGTCTATGTGTGTGTACATGGCGCCCGCCTTAGACGGGACGAATATTGATAAACCTGAGCTAAAATTTCTAAATTCAATCATTCTGAACTCCACTATTTCTGGCATCTGGTTTTTTGTTGTAGTAGTACTATTTATTATTGTAATTATCACATTCACGAAAAAAATTAAATCATGGAAAAAACATGTTGCCGATAAAAGCAAGTAGAGCTTTTTTTAGTAGCAGTAGAGCTTCTTGTGAAAGAGTTCGTCCACATAAGTACTGCCACCTTACCTATTTCTGCCGCCAAGCAATAATGACAGCATTACTGCGTTCCGGTTTGAAAGGGTAAGTAAGGGTGCTGGTGAAATTACAGGCACATGGGATTTGTCGACTTATGTCTCAGGACGACTGGCGCAATGGCAGTGCCCGTAACATCTTTGGGATGTAAAGCTCTGAATGGCACTGCAACTGTTATGGACAGGCGTGTCTCTTGCCACCAGGTGCACGACTTGTTCGTCCCGTCATTTGGTTATTATAAAAAAAGCGTGAAATTTTTTATTTCTTTTTATTTATATTATAGGATAGGAAACTGCTTGTATTTGATTTGTAGCCATTTTGATTGAATTGAATAAGAGCCTAGGAAACGAGCATAATTGCTTATATATTATTTAAAAAAATAGAGATATTTTGAAACAAATATAATTTTTAATTTTATTACCAATACTAACTATTATATAAATTACTAACTTATTTTTACAAAAATAACTAGGTATTTGTGACACTTGGACGTGCATATACAACATTCTTAACACACAAGCACTTCCTATTATCACATTGCTGCACCTACATTTAACAAATTTTACCTACATATTGCTTTATGCACTTTTGGCAGATTTTTTTTATACATACAGTATTTATTCTTTAAATGGGAAAGTATGGGGAAATCTGAAACCATAGAAGATACAAAGAAACTGTCTTAGGAGCTATTAAATCTATTTTTGTGAAAGCTAATTTTGGCATAGTAAATTTTTTGGTCAAGCGTGAGTTGTTCATAAAAATGAATAAAATTTATAACATTTTTTTAGTGATTATCGACTTAGTTTCATATAAGGATCATTTCATTGTTTTGCGACGAAAAAATCGGGACAACAGAAGTTTGTCAAATTTAATCAAATATTTTTCATACAAAGTCAGTAAAATTGACTATTTATAACCGTCTTCAAAAAATAAGGAGGTTCTCAATTCGACTGTATGTTTTTTTTGTATGTATGTTACGCGATAACTCCAGTATCTGTGAACCGATTTTCATGATTCTTTTTTTGTTGGAAAGGGGGTACTTCCATAGTGATCCCATTTCATTTTGAAGAAAATCGTCCACCTCTAAGGGTGGCTGTTCACGCATGAAGATTCATTTTTATAAATAGCGCCTAATTTTACTTAAGGAGCAATTATTTTAATGGTTGTTTTTGCTATTTCTCCAATTCAAGGCGTTTTTCTCTCAATATACTTTGAGTAGTGTCAACCGATTTTTATTATCTTTAGTGTCAAGTCTTGTTTAGTGGCGAACGTAATTCCACGTACTTTTGAGGTCGGTTTTTTTAGTACTCTGTACTGAGATTATTCGTAATGCTGGTAGATTCACTTTCTCATAACGTTGATTTCATTGTATACGACGAAGAACATCGGGACAGCAGAAGTTGGTCAAATTTAATAAAAATATTTGTCATTTTATGAAATTTGATTTTAATCTCACCTGATGGATGAGGTTAAGGATACAGCATACACACACCAATAATGTCTATTCCCT